CAGGGATACGCAAGATCGGCAAATTACATGAAAATATGTCGTTAAGGGATCATTCTAGTTTAGATGCTCAAAAAAAAGGGCTATTTGTGTAACCTTTTTAAAGAATTTATTATTATAGATATTGATATAAAATTTGTTGGGCTTAATAAATACACTCTCGAAATACATAAAACAACTTTTTAAAAATTATTTTAAACACTTTTTATACACAAATATAGCAGGCAAACGTAACTCCTCGAAAAATAGGTATGTCACTGGCGGAGTTGATATCTCGATAACGGCTCATCAGAAACGAAAAAATAAACAATATTTAGATTCAGTATGACTGCGGTTCTCGCACATTCTATGGATATTAATATTTATTAATAAATAATAAAATAGCGGAGATTTAAAAAAAAATCGAGGTTCTTTTTTCACTGCTTTTGGCAAAAAAATAGTAAAAATTAAAATTTTAATACGGTTATCGAATGCGCTGAAGCTATTCATGTGTAGAATATGTAGTTAAAATTTCATAAGGATCGGTTCACTGGTTCCGGAGAAATCACCGCCGCCGGCCGAAAAAACGTTGTTTTGAGAAAAACGCGTTTAAAGTTTAAAAGGCAAATCTAGCGAGCACGTTCACTTAGTAGAGATTCCCCAAAAAACACTTACGTGTAAAAAACTACGCCAAGTACGGGATTGCTGTGAATTCCTCTAACAAAAAGTATTGATATCATATTATTGAGGCCAAGTACATAAGTCACTACATGTTTTCCTATTATATGATCTAGCACTGGCCCATCATTTTAATTATATTTTCAATATTTCCTATAACGTTTTCGCTACTTTTTTATGTTACTACTGCTTCCCGTATTTAATTATGACTTAATGGTGATTTAATAATTAATAAAACTTTAGATGATTCCTTATCGAGTACTACTTGGCGGGTCCGTGCATTTCTTAATATAAATTTGGTACAAAACCAGTACCAATTGTCTATAGAAAGCATATTAACAATAACTCGTCGAAAATAATCACGGTAAAAGCTTAATAACAAACATACAGCATTAGAATACTATGACCACGTGCAAAGTAAGTACTTTGGAATTCCTGGCACGGACCCATCAAGTAGTACTCGATAAGGAATCACCTAAAGTTTTATTAATTATTAAATCACCATTAAATCATAATTAAATACGGGAAGCAGCAGTAACATAAAAGAGTAGCGAAAACGGTATAGGAAATATTGAAAATATAATTAAAATGATGGACCAGTGCTAGATCATATAATAGGCAATCATGTAGTGACTTATGTACTTGGCCTCAATAATATGATATCAATACTTTTTGTTAGAGAAATTCACAGCAATCCTGTACTTGGCGTAGTTTTTTACACGTAAGTGTTTTTTGGGGGATAAAGAGTTGACTCGAGTAAAGAGTCTCGGGGCGCTGCGCCCTGTACAGCCGGTTGCCTGTACTTGGCGCGAGACTCGACCAAGTCTCTTGATTTGATCAGAGCGTACCGCTCCGAGCGCCTGATTCCGTGAAATTCTTAAAATTCCATTCGATGTTCATATCTGCTGGGTCCCGTTGGTAAAAAGTGGAAACTCGCCTTGCGAATTTGAAAGGATTTTTACGAAATAAAAGTGAACGTTACGATAGAAACGTATATATCAACTGCGATCTGCTCTGATCGAAGGTCAATACACGAGTCTTTATTTCAAACTCAAAACTCTTGGCACTCAGCGCCGGAGTCTTTAAAAAGATTTTCCTACCGACATAGTTTTCAGCTAATCAAATGCGAATTCACAAGGAACAAGGGAAAAAGACTGTGAACTTATATTAGCCGTTTTTTACTGTCGCTGCTTCGAAGAAAGGGCCAACCGTCTCCATTACAATCGTTGACACTTGACGTGCTGGCGATTCGTTGTCATACGTTAGCGCCAGAGGGGCATGATAAGTGGCGCCACCTCTGAGACAACTAGTGAACTTTCGATAAAATGCAACGTAAAAGTCACAATAACGTAGTTAGATTGCTCCGATCGTTCAAAAAGTTTTACAGAATACTTTTTGGTACATATTGAGACGTTTCGTGATTTTCAAGTGTTAGGAATCACGAGACTGTTTATAGGGTTTGTGCACTGGGCAGGCGTCTTTAGAAACAATTTAGACACCGGAGTTTTTTTTTTAAATAATAAGATAATGATACATTGTCCTATAAATTACAGACTAGGTATCCTTAATATTCTATTTTGCTCTTTCTCTCACACACATACACACACTTTACAATGGTCTCTCGCTTGTTTGTAATACCATAGGCGACAAGAAGTGTTTTTGTTTACTTTATTATCTCTGCTAGCCCTTTGGATAGGAGAGAGGTAGCTGAAACCACAATACAGCAGATTGCACAATGCGTCCGAAGACCGTG